CAACTTCACTTAAATTTCAAATTCAGTTTTTCAAGTTCTTAGAAAGAAACAAGGAAAATCTAAAAACCTGTTGAGATTTAGATTGCAGTTGCACTGATTCTACATATATTAATATGGAAAGAATTTATCTTTTTATGATATACAGTCCACAAACATCTTTCTAGTTACTTAATGTCACCCAATAAACTTACATGTTTCTCTGTAGGAATCATTTTTTTCTCTAACTTCTTAACTTTAATGTTTAACATTACTTTTTGACATTTTTAATATGAACATATAAAGCTGTCAGTTTTTTCTTAGTACCTCTTTAGCTATATGCATAATCCTTTTATTCCTTCTTTAACTATGACTAACCTGCTTTAAACTTATTCAGTTTTATTTTTGATTTTTTTTTCCTCCCAAGTTCAGTTCACTTTCATATCTGCTTGGTCCTTTGCTCTTTACTCATAATACTAATCCTTTCTATTGTTTTAGGTTATGTGTCTAATTATTCTAAAAAGCTGAAGTCTTCCTGGATTTGTTTTTGTTGGCTTTTGCTCATCTGAGTCTTATTTCCAATGTGTTTTATATATTTTTTACGTATCTCTTAGAACTTTATGGAATTCATTTACGTTGAGGTAAAGGTATGTCCCTCCAGAGAGGGTTTTCATTACTTCTGCCTGGGGCATAACCAGCTTGGAACCACAATAGATTTTTAGTTTGAGGTTTTTCAAGCCACCCAGGTGGTATCAACTTAAAATGCAAACCTGCCTGAGGGCTAGAATGTGGTTGGGATTCTGAGGTGGGGTTTTTTTTGTTTTTGTTTTTTCCCAAGCCTTGAGATAGATTTTTCTTCTTTAAATTCAAGGTCAGAGTGGTTACATCTGTGGAGAAGTGTGGCAGGAGAATTTCAGAACTAGAAATCCACTGTGACACAGAGTTCGATACTTTGGTGGGACTTAGAGTCTCCTTGCTGGGCAGCCCCTGGACCTAGTCTTTTGTTTAAAATAAAGCTTAAGTTAACCAGGCCGGGGAAAATGCCCTCAAGGCAAGCTCTGACTTACATATTCTAGTGTTCACAATCCTGGTGTTCTGTTCACCTCCGCAGGTTCTTTCATTCAAGTTTAGTATTCCTCACTGTCATGATTAATGCAATCACAAAGTTTTTTTTTTTATTAATCCAGCATTTTTAGTTGATTTCAGCAGGAAGGTTATCAAGGTGTCTAGGGTCCACCCTCTGCTTTAAAAAAAAAAAAAAAAAAAGATTTTCAGAAACTTAAGTTGGAAGAAATTCTTTAAAGTGAGAGCTTCTATTTCTGTGGGATTGCTTTTGAAAGTCTCTGAGCCCACCCTCTGCCATCCTTCTCTCCTTTCTTTTGTCTTGAGCTTCTCGTTTCTCTATAACTCATTCCTTTTTCACTGGTGACTTTTCTAAGTGTCTCCTTGCTTGTCCCAGTGGCAGGAAAAGCCCACGAGACGGAGCCCCAGTCACCTCTCTTCCCAAACCTCAGTCTCACCTCTGTACCATGTCAGTCGTTCTCACCTGTTCTTACCTCTGGGCTACAAAAGAGAAGCTTTGCTGAGAGTGCTGTATTTGAGATAACATTTTTATCTTGTTCACCTGATAGTGCTGGAGAGAAAAACATTGCTTACAAAGAACAGATATTCTTTCCTGCAGTCAGACTCTAAAGTCCTTTAACTAAATTAACCAGAGTATTGATCTGTCTCTTTGATCACCCTGACTTTATTAAGTCAGGTATTGCGTTTTCTTCCTTCTGTCATGGTATCACTGAAAAGAGTAACTTTTGTTTCCAAAAGAGAGGCTGTCACAGAACAAAATCATCATCCGCAAGGGCAGGGGTAACAGATGTAGGAGAGAAAGTGTCAGCGACAGCAAGGTCCCAAAGGGATGGCATGATATACTAGCACTTTGTATAAAATTACAGAAAATGGAAATATAAGACTTGATAGCAGCAGGCAGTCAGAAAATCAGCTCTGTTGAATGTTCCTTCTCTTGCCACGTAAGAAAATGAAGTTGTCTCGTTCACCCTCGTTGTTGTTATTGGTAGCAGTAGCATTGTACTCAGCCTCTACAGGACTTGAAAGGGCTGTGTGACCCTACATGAAAGGCGTGTGGTGCACCACCATGCCCTGAGATCGGTTTGTTCTGCAATGACTAGACTGAGACGTGTATAAATAGCTTATTGATTGACACTTGACTGTGAAATTTCTCTCATGGGAGTAGAAAGAAGTCAAAATAATGAAATTGCCCAGAATTACTAGTTGATGTAGTAAGAGCACCAATGAAGTATACTTCTGATTCATCTGGTCATTCTTTCATAATGTCTGTGCCTTTGAATTAAATAAGCAAAGTCTGATCATCTTGCTGCTAGTTGTTTCAAAAAAGAAAGAAGTAATGAGCGTAGAGGGCATGATGATGAAATTATGATAAAATATGTATATATCTATTAAACAATCATAAATGGCCCTTGGCCACTGATGACAGTATATGGTCGAATGGCATTAAAGAACATGAATAGCTCTCGCTTCCCTTTGACAGGTACATGGGTTGTATACTCTGTTATGCTATTAGATTTCCATTTTTTCAGTAAAACAGTTTAAACATATGGGTGTATCACATAAGAATTTGCAGACTGCATATCATGAAGCTCTTTTTAATCAGTTGGCATGCCTGCATTCCTCCATGAATGCTTGTGTCCCTTACACCACAGACATGTTTATTTCTGTCCCTCAGGGAGACCTGGGGTAAAAAAATTTGGTATCAGCCATCTCAGTTCAAGCAGGGTTTTCTTTTTATGTGCAAGTTTAGAACAAAGTATAAAGTCAGTCCCCTTAAATAAACAGTTCTCTTTCCTCCTCTATGAGCAGACTTGTGGATATTTAATAAATTTATTTATATTAAAATATTTTTAGGATGGAATAATGGAGTGTTAACATATGATCTAAAAGTTATTGTCAGTTGTTAAAGAACTTAAACTATTGTTTTAAAATTACTTTTACACCTACCTTGTTGAGAAGTATACCATGTACAGATTATAGTGTTTGATTCTTTCATATGAATTATTATTTACTTAAGGATCTACTTATCTACTAGCAAAGGATGGAACTTTTTTTCTCTTTATTTTAAATATATAGCAGAAATTCACCCCGGTCCTTCATGGAAGATAAATCCTAAGCTTTTTCAATATGTTTGTTGATTTTTATGTTCATGCTGTCCCAGAGAATGTTTGCACTTTTTCAAGTGAGAAAGAAGCTTAGCTGGTTATCCAGAGATTTCATTTGTAGTTATTTCATGTAAGAACAACAGATAATGAAGATACTGCATTAAACTTTGGGAAGAGATTAACTTTTAAATGAAAAGGTTTGTTACCAAGGGAAGTAGAAGATAATAAGTTCCTGACAAAATATTTGACAGTTTTTAATCTATTATGTGTACATATATTCTAAAGCATTTCTAAAGTAACAGCATACATGTTCAGTTTTTAACAAATGAGGTTGCTTACCGCATAGAGTTCTCTAAGCATAATACTACTTGTACTGACCCTTTTTAGTTCTGTTTCTTATTGACTAGAAGTTGATTCACCTGTTTTTGGTAGCAGGGATAAGGATGGGGTGATGGTGGGAGAGGAGAGGAAAGACCACAGAACTAACAGTTCTGGGCTTTTTACAGTAACCTGAATCACAAAAAGCAACTCTTGTGGTGGTTTTGAGTGGTTTGTCCTCTTATTTCCCTTCAGTATTGGTGGTCAGAATTAAAATAGAGCTGAAATTCCAACTCTAGGCTGAGTTTGATATCTCTCTTCAACTTTTGATTTTGAGATCACGATAGATTCATATGCAGCTGTAAGAAACGCTACAGAGAGATGCCATACACCACCCCCCTCCCCGTTTCCCCCCAATAGTAACATATCATATCATATCTTATATCACTGTTGTTACTGTCGCAAGGACACTGATACACTCCATCATCCACCATATTCACATTTCACCAGTTTTACATGCGCTCACCTGTGTTGGTTACTTAGTTCTACACAGTTTTATCACACAAATAGATTTGTGTGACCACAGTCAAAATCAAGAACAGTTGCGTCATGGGGACCCCTTTGTGCTACCCTTTCACAGCCAAAGCCATTTCCTTCCATCCTGTCCCCCCACCCTAGCCTCTGGCAATCACTAATCCCATCTCAGTTATTAGGTCATTTCAGGTATGTCATATGAATGGCCTTGTGCAACATGTAACTTTTTGAGGTTGGCTTTTTCTCACTCACATTATTCCCTTCAGTACCTTTTGATCCTAGAAGATATTTTTGAATCTGGTCTCTTGAGTAGGTATTCTTGTTTCACAGGTGATATCCAGAATTTGGTTTTGATAACTAGAAAAAAATAAAGCTGTCTTGATGCTTGGTGGTAAGATTTGATAGTGCCCAAAAAATACCTAGTGAAATTAAATGTATTCAAACAATATTTAATGGGGTGGTATCTGTAAACTTGTTTTAAAATAGGCAAATAGCGCATAAACTTCTTGGTGTTCTGGAATAGTGAGTCTTATATGTTATAAATAGTATTAACATGTTGCCTGGGAACTCCATCAATGTCAAAGTAATATTGGAGCTATTGCAGGGAACGTTAAAACCCAAGGAAATTGTATATATTACAAAGTTTTAAATATTAGGCTGTCATGATCTCTCTAGTACAAGGCTATAGAAATTAAGATCTAATTTTCAATTTTTCTTTGCCTGAGAAACTGATGACAGAAAGAGAATGTTTTTCTTTATCCCTTTTAACAGCATGATTTTACCATTGTCTTGATTTATTACCTTGTTCTGTCTGGTTATTAAAATGACCTTGTTTCTTTCCAAAGCCTCATATAGACCTTTCAGTGAGTGTATCACGCCTTCCTGACAAGCCTGCCCCACACTGTTTTCTGGTGTGTTCTTTGTAGAATGTGAGCCAATAGAAGCGATAGCCAAGTTTGACTACGTTGGGCGGTCTGCCAGAGAATTGTCCTTCAAGAAGGGTGCTTCCCTCCTGCTGTATCACCGCGCGTCGGAGGACTGGTGGGAAGGAAGGCACAACGGGATTGATGGGCTGGTACCCCACCAGTACATAGTGGTCCAAGATATGTGAGTAGCGCCAGCTTCCATCACCCGGGTGCTCCCGAGGAGACTCGAGTTGTTGTTCTTACATTGTCCTTACCTTGGTCTTGTGAGAAAAGAAGGGATTACAGAGCAAAAACTTCTGAGCTGGGCTCAGTTCTTCACCTTGCTGATGGAAAATGAAAACCCGTTGGCCGGGAAGTCCTGTTAGCAAGGACCCATGCTCTCCCAGCAGGTCTGGAGCAAGGACTAATGAGAGATGCCTTCTGAAGCCCTCAGACTCTTAGAAAAATACCCTGTACAGAGGATAGTTGTAGGAGCTGAAGTGGCACTGCTAATTCCTAAAACAGTGGTTCCTCTTCCCTTGGTGTCTGTTTTAATTCCAAATTCCCCAAAGGGAGGCTACTGACTTCAGGGCTAAAGAGAATCATCTCCAGGCTTCTTTTTTAATTTTGCTTATGAGAAAGCTCTACTTTCAAAAATACTTAAAGTGGTATCTTCCCATCTGGTCTTAGTATTAAGTGAAAGAAACAAGTTACAAAATAACATGTACAGTATAGTCTTAATTTTGTGACTATGGTATTTCACAATGCAGCACCAATTTATGAACAGTTTTTCAAGGAAGAGAGAAAAATACCACATAAATGGATACAGTGATTGATTCAGCCTAATTTTAAACTGTTAAAATGGCTCTCTGAATCCAAGAAATATTATGTGTGTGTTATGCAGACATACAGTCCTAAAGTACACATATAAATACCTATAGTAAATACTACTATACATACACGTGGACATTCTTATAGATAGGTATGTCAGGCAGAGGAGAAAAGCAGAGAAAGATATTTTCTAGAATTCAAACAGTGGTTGTCTCTGGATGTTATATTATGGGTGATTTGTCATCTGAATTTTCCAATTTACCTGCCATGAAATGATGCTATATTTATAGTGAAAAGAAACAAGTTATGTTAGTAAGAGAAAGACTTACATACATAAATGCAATCACTTATTCTTTTGTCCCCATTCATCAAGCAAAAGACCTTCACTCTTGATTCTCACTGTCTCAGGGATGATACATTTTCAGACACTCTGAGCCAGAAAGCCGACAGCGAGGCCAGCAGCGGGCCGATAACTGAAGACAAGTCTTCATCCAAGGACATGAACTCCCCTACAGACCGACATCCTGATGGCTATTTAGCCAGGTAGGTGGACTCCCAAGCCTCTGCTTCTCCAGGGGTTCTGAAGAGCTGTGGCGTCCAGCTTTGCAGAATTACCCAGTGTGACGACCTCTGCTATTCTCTCTGTCTAGACAAAGAAAAAGGGGAGAGCCACCCCCTCCGGCAAGGCGTCCTGGCAGGACCAGTGATGGCCATTGCCCCCTCCACCCCCCACACGGTCTTTCCAACTCCTCAATTGACCTGGGGTCCCCAAGCCTGGGCAGTCATCCCCGGGGCCTGCTGCAGAATCGTGGCCTCAACAACGACAGTCCTGAGCGGAGGCGTCGGCCAGGCCACGGCAGCCTGACCAACATCAGCCGTCACGACTCCCTCAAGAAGATCGACAGCCCCCCTATTAGAAGGTCCACGTCGTCAGGGCAGTACTCGGGCTTCAACGACCACAAGCCGCTGGACCCAGAGACAATCGCTCAGGTAGGCTGCTTTGAAGGGGGTACTACATGCTAAGTACCAGCGTATGATGGAGGAGGCATTATAGGAGTTACTTTCTAGAGCCATATCTTTTGTATAGAACCAACTAAAGAAAACAGAAATTAGCCCATTCTCTGAGGCCATTTGTTACAAGAAGGGCCCAAATACTGGGTTGGCCAAAAAGTTCGTTCTAGTTTGTCCATAATATCAGAACAAAGTTTTTGGCCAGCTCAATGTATTGGATTCATAGTGATGTGAACAGAGACATGGCAGAAATGTAAGACCCAGGACAGTCAAGCCCTGGGTCACTCCTAAATGGCCAGAAAGATTCAGAAAATAAGAATGAGGAACGACGAGCCCTCCCAGATCCTGAACGTATGCTTGAGCTAGTGAAACAGACAATTCAAGGGAACAGAATGGAGAACCCTGAAACAGAACATTCTTAGTGTCTGATGAAGGTGACACTTTCAACTGAGGAAATGAAGGATAAGGCAATAAAGGAAGTGAAAAATAATGGTTGACTGTTTGAAGAACAACAAGTCTAGCTACTGTGTCAGTCCTGAATGCACGTGAATCTTCACTTCGCAAGCAGAGAAGGGCTTTGTAGTTTTTTTTTTTAATGATTGGAATTGACAAAGTGTAAGTAAAATAATATTAATGGATTTCCCATCATTCTACCATTTTTTTCCTCTGGCTCTTTTTAAAGTACAAACCATCAGAAAATATATGTATGACAGAAAAAAAAAAATCACTATATCCTGTACATCTGAAACTAACACAATATTGTAAATCAAGTATACTTCAATGAAAAAAAAGAAAAGAAAACGTGTGTATGGCCAGTGAAAAAGGAGGTGAAAGAGATTCAGGGTTTGCCATTTGAGTAATCTTAAAGTGTCTTCTAGCTACCACTGAAGCTTAAAAAAGTGAGTGAGAAATTAATGAAACAAACATGGGGAAATATTAAAGATGGGTCATTTTTAATAAAGAGCACTCCAGGAAACCTGCATTTTGATATGACAAATTTCCAAGCTATTTTCATTGTCCTAACTAAAAAGAATTTTGGAAAGCAATTAGATTACGTGAAGAGTTTAATGTGTTTTTACAAAATTAATCCAATTTTAAGTGCACAATAATTTTTCAGCAAAAATCAAAAAGGCTTTTGACCTTTTTGGGTTTCTGTCTATTTTAAAGGCAACGCAGAGTCCTTTGAGGTGTATTTAGAACCAGTGATATTTGACTATAATTGAATTTAATGATTTGAAAAATCCATAACATCATTGCTTATAAAAAGCATATGAAACAGTATTTAGGTTAGAGAGACAGGGAATTAGGAGCTTAGTAGTGGAAAGGCATAAAAAGTTCTACTTTAACCCTTTTGCTTCTAGAACCAGGAAATCCTGTAACTGTAAATCATAAAAGCAAAAACTCAACAGATAAATCAGGCTCTGCATGTTTTCTCTGGGGCTAATACTTGTAAAAAAAAACAAATCCATATATTTAGCATCAAATGGAAATCACATATGAAAATAATCACTTGTAAAGTGATGTCATCCTCACAAAATGGATTCCAGCTGTATCCTTTATTTATCTTTCCATCTCTCATCTTCAGATTTTCCCATGAGGATAAGTGAGCCTGCCATCATGGTATTCATACCAAAAACACGCGAATTCTTTCAGTAAATGAGTGGAACCCCTGATAGAGCTTTTTTTAAAAATGCGACTTACCCTTATGTGATCACTGGATCTTTGCTTATTCACTTAGCAAGTCTTCATTGAGCATTTCTGTATGGCAGCGTCCATGATAGACGTCATAGACAGTTAAATCAGTGGTCAGCCGCTGCATGAAGGTGCTTGTAAATCAGCGGGGGAGGTGGGTGTGGAAGCCAGTTCCTGCTCTCCAGAGCCGCAAGCTAATGCTGGAGGTGAGTGGAAGTCCTGAAAACGCAGAGAAGAGGCCTTTCAGTCTCACTAGTGCAGTGGCTCTCTGCCTACCTCACACAATACTCGTGTGTGTGTGAGTGAGTAAACGATGCAAAACAGACCCTCTTAACTTTTCTTTGGAATTTAGTTGCTTTGCAGTGTTGTGTTGGTTTCTGCCCTATAGCAGAGTGAGTGAACCCCACAGCCATCAACACCTCTGTCCCCAGCGAGCCTTCACTGGCCCGTTCTCGCCCTGACCTCTTCTGAGTGTACAGGTCAGTAAAGTGTTCGCCTGGCTGGTAACAGGTCTCCAGAGCTGCTTCATCCTGCAAAACAAACTCTGTACCCGTTCGAGAACAGTGCCTAGTTTCCCCTCCCCCTGCCCAGGCCCTCGCCACCACCGTTCTTTTTTCCTTCTGTGAATTTGACTGCCTCATAGAAGTGGAGTCATGCAGTGTTTGTCTTTTTTGTGACTGGCTTATCCCATTTAATACCTTCAAGATGTGTCCATATCGTGGCATCCTTTTTAAGGCCCAGTAACAGTCCCTTGTACATATACAGCACATTTCATTTACCCATTCCTCTGGCAGTGGTGCACATTGTATACGCTTACCTTTTTACAAATACTTTGTAATTTCCCCTTTATTTTCTGAAATAAATGGATAGATGATATGCCTAATTTTTAAAAAAACATATAAAGCCCTAAATACAATAAAAAAAGGAAAAATAGAAATATTAAAACAAATGTCAGTTATTGATTAAACTAGAAGATGGGCTTCCCAGGTGGTGCTAGTGGTAGACAACCCGCCTGCCAGTGCAAAAGATATGAGAGATACAGGTTCAATCCCTGGGTCACGAAGATCCCCTGGAGGAGGGCATGGCAACCCAGTCCAGTGTTCTTGCCTGGAGAATCCCATGGGCCGAGGAGCCTGGTGGGCTACAGTCCATGGGGTCAGACACGACTGAAGCGACTTTAGCACATATGCACACTAGAAGACAAATGAAATAGTGAGATGCTCTCACTTACCTGTAGACTACCATAAATACAATTAAAAATGAACATGGAGGGGCTTCTTGGTGGCTCAGTAGTAAAGAATCTGCCTGCCAGTGCAGAGACATGGGTTTGATCCCTGATCCAAGAAGATCGCACATGCTGTGGAACGACGTAGCCTGTGCACCACTACTTTTGAACCAGTGCTCCAGAGCCTGCACGCTGCAGTTAGTGAGCCTACGCGCTACAACTCCTGAAGACTGCGTGCTCGTGAGCCTGTGCCCCACGACACGACAAGCCACTGCAACGAGAAGCCGGCACACCACGAGTAGAGAAAAGCTCAAGTAGCAATGAAGACCCAGAACAGCCATATGTAAATGAATAAAAAAATTTTTTAATGTACATTGAAATGAGTATTAGGTTAACTAGTCTCAACTCAGTTTCCATAATGGTGTTCCCGTGAGTGATACGATTTTTTAAAGTGGTGGACCACCCTCTGTCAAACATGCTAAGTCGCTTCAGTTGTATCCCAGCTCTTGGCGACCCCATGGAATGTAGCCTGCCAGTCGCCTCTGTCCATGGGTTTCTCCAGCAAGAATACTGAAGTGGGTTGCCCTGCGCTCTTCCAGGGAATCTTCCCTACTCAGGGATTGAACGTGTGACTCTTCCATCTACTGTATTGGCAGGCGGGTTCTTTACCACTAGCGGTCATGCCGTTCTCATCAAAGCAGAGTATAATTTACATGATGGTTTCATTCTTAGAAAACTTAACACTATAAAAAAAATATTTTGTGTTTATATATAAGAAAGAGTTAAGTTCTAGGCTCAGATTATTATAAAAAAAATTTCACCTACATAAATGTGTGGAGGATATTAAAAAGTTGAACAAGATCTGGGGCAATTCATTGCATGTAAATTATCCAAGATACTTGCCAGATATCCAATACCTCTGCTCACTAAATGCTACCCAGTTATTTTGACATTTAAAAATACACGACACATCACATTACGGAAATGCTCTCTATGGAGCAACACCACTGCCGTTGAGACCTACTGAACAGAAGCCTCAGGGAAGGCTTGAAGTGAATTCTGAAGAACTGCTAGGAGTTAGCCAAGTGTATAATAAGTGCTCAAAAATTATTTGTTGAATGAATGAAAAAAAAAAAACAAACCTGATTTTTCATGCCTATTCACTTTTCTTAAGAAATTGCTGGTCTAAATTTAAGCCACCTTTTACCATAGATTGAAAGAGAATGCTATACAAGATGTCAGCATGTAAGGTCGAAACCCCCAGGAGACCGCCAAGTGCCAGAATGGCCAGTGCTTGCTCTGTGGCTCCATGAGCCATTGCAGCCGTTACCAGGGAATCTTCCCTACTCAGGGATTGAACGTGTGACTCTTCCATCTACTGTATTGGCAGGCGGGTTCTTTACCACTAGCGGTCATGCCGTTCTCATCAAAGCAGAGTATAATTTACATGATGGTTTCATTCTTAGAAAACTTAACACTATAAAAAAAATATTTTGTGTTTATATATAAGAAAGAGTTAAGTTCTAGGCTCAGATTATTATAAAAAAAATTTCACCTACATAAATGTGTGGAGGATATTAAAAAGTTGAACAAGATCTGGGGCAATTCATTGCATGTAAATTATCCAGGATACTTGCCAGATATCCAATACCTCTGCTCACTAAATGCTACCCAGTTATTTTGACATTTAAAAATACACGACACATCACATTACAGAAATGCTCTCTATGGAGCAACACCACTGCCGTTGAGACCTACTGAACAGAAGCCTCAGGGAAGGCTTGAAGTGAATTCTGAAGAACTGCTAGGAGTTAGCCAAGTGTATAATAAGTGCTCAAAAATTATTTGTTGAATGAATGAAAAAAAAAAAACAAACCTGATTTTTCATGCCTATTCACTTTTCTTAAGAAATTGCTGGTCTAAATTTAAGCCACCTTTTACCATAGATTGAAAGAGAATTCTATACAAGATGTCAGCATGTAAGGTCGAAACCCCCAGGAGACCGCCAAGTGCCAGAATGGCCAGTGCTTGCTCTGTGGCTCCATGAGCCATTGCAGCCGTTTCCTCCGTCTCCTGCACCTTCAGAGTCACAGCAGTTATGTGGAACAGCATTGAGTTTACACACGTTACACACCGCTGTTAAAACAGTCATGCTTTTTGCTAGTCTGCTTGCTTTGAAGTATGCGAGTTTCTGTGAGGCTTAAAATGAAGAAAGTAGGGAAAACCACTAGACCACTCAGATATGACCTAAATCAAATCCCTTATGATTGTACAGTGGAAGTGACAGATTAAAGGGATTAGACCTAGTAGACAGAGTGCCTGAGGAACTACGGATGGAGGCTCGTAACGTTGTACAGAAGGCAGTGACCAAAACCATCCCCAAGAAAAAGAAATGCAAGAAGGCAAAGTGGTTGCCTGAGGAGACTTTACAAATAACTGAGGAAAGAAGAGAAGTATAAGGCAAAGGAGAAAGGGAAAGATATACCCAACTCAATGCAGAGTTCCAGAGAATAGAAGAGAGAAGAAAGCCTTCTTAAATGAACAATGCAAAGAAATAGGGGAAAACAATAGAATGGGAAAGAAAGACTAGAGATCAAGAAAATTGGAGATAAAGGGAACATTCATGCAAGGATGGGCACAATAAAGGACAGAAATGGTAAGGACCTAACAGAAACAGAAAAGATTAAGAAGAGGTGGCAAGAATACATAGAAGAACTGTACAAAAAAGATCTTCACGACCCAGATAACCATGATGGTGTGGTCACTCACCTACAGCCAGACATCCTGAAGTCAAGTGGGACTTAGGAAGCATTACTACAAAGTTACTTCAAGTGATGGAATTCCAGTTAAGCTATTTCAAAAGTTAGTTCAGGTGATGGAATTCCAGTTAAGCTATTTCAAATCCTAAAAATGATGCTGTGAAAGTGCTGCACTCAATATGCCAGCAAATTTGGAAAATTCAGTAGTGGCTAGTAAAGGTCTAGAAAAGGTCAGTTTTCATATGTTCAGAATACCATACAATTGCACTCATTTCACAGCCTAGCAAGATTATGCTCTAAACACTTCAAGCTAGGCTTCAGCAGTATATGAACAGAGAACATCCAGATGTACAAGCTGGACTTTGAAAAGACAGAGGAAGCAGAGATCAAATCGCCAATATCCATTGGATCATAGAAAAAGCAAGCAAATAGCAAAAAAAAAATCTACTTTTGCTTCATTGACTAAGCTAAAGTCTTTAATTGTGTGGATCACAATAGAATATTATTTAGTCATAAAAAAATAGTGAAATAATGTCATTTACAACATGGATGGATGCAGAGGTGCTAAGTGAAGTAGGCAGACAGGGAAAGAGAAATATCATATGATATCACTTACATGTGGAATCTAAAATATGATACACATGAACTTGTTTAGAAAACAGAAACAGACTTACAGACACAGAGAACAAATTTATGATTCTCAAAGGAGAAAAAGAAGTGGAGGAGGGAAAAATTAAGAGACTGGGATTAATGGATACACACTATTATCAATATAAATAAAATAGATAAACAACAAGGTCTATTGTATAACTATTGTTGTTCAGTCACTAAGTCATGTCCAACTCTTTGAGACCCCGTGGACTGTAGCAAGAATGTTCCTTTAGCCTTCACTGTCTCAGAGTTTGCTCAAATTCATGTCCATTGAGCTGGTTATGCTATCTAACCATCTCATTTTCTGTTGCCCTCTTCCCCTTCTGCCCTCAATATTTCCCAGCATCAGAGTCTTTTCCAGTGAGTCAGTCCTTTACATCAGGTGACCAAAATATTGGAGCTTCAGTTTCAGCATCAGTCCTTCCAATGAATATTTAGGGTTGATTTCCTTTAGGATTGATTGGTTTGATCTCTGTGCANTCAGTCATGGCCCACTCTTTGCGACCCCGTGGACTGTAGCCCCCACCAGGTTCCTCTGTCCATGGGATTTTCCAGGCAAGAATACTGGAGTGGGTTGCTATTTCCTTCTCTAGGGATAACACAATCTAGTGATTCCACATTTCTGTACATTTCAAAATGATCCCCATGAGAAGTCTAGGTTACCATCTGTCATTTGTTTTTCAACAGGATATCGAAGAGACGATGAACACTGCTTTGAACGAACTCCGAGAGCTGGAAAGACAGAGTACGGCAAAGCATGCTCCCGACGTGGTGCTGGATACCTTAGAGCAAGTGAAGAACTCTCCCACCCCCGCTGCCTCCACCGAATCGCTCAGCCCTTTGCACAGCGTCGCCCTCAGGAGCTCAGAGCCTCAGATTCGTCGGAGCACTAGCTCCTCCAGTGACACGCTGAGTACTTTCAAGCCTGCGGTGGCACCCAGAATGGGCGTGCAGCTGAAGCCCCCAGCCCTGCGGCCGAAACCTGCTGTCCTTCCAAAAACAAACCCGACCGTGGGACCCGCCCCGCCTTCCCAAGGCCCAGCAGACAAGTCCTGCACAATGTAACACCCACCGGAGCGTGGTCATCTGGGGTGATGATTAAAAAGAGAAGACGGATTAGTGACAAAAGTCAACGATCCATAACTTGCGTTAGTCACGTGCTTATAACTGGAGATCTTTTGGCTTTTCTATGTTCTGGAATGTAATGTCTGAGATTAGCTAAATTAACACGGGCATTTGTATTTTGTAATTTCTTTTTTTTTTTTAATAACTGGACATATGCCATTTTAAAGACAATAGAAACACTTAGACTTACTTGAAAATCCAATGCTGCACCGTTTGTAATGAAGACAGCACCGCTCTGCCCTGCACATTGCACAGTGCTTCAGGCTTAGAGAAGCCCGGTGAGTCAGAAAGGCCGGCGTCTCAAGGCAGGAGAGTCTGCAGTGCCAGGCCCTGGAGTGAAACCGCTGTTGGTCGGTGGCACTTGGGGTGAGGCTGAAAGGTGACGATGGGACTGTTTAGTAGCTGACAGTGAGTACCTCTGATCTCATGCCGCGGGGCTGAGACCAGCCCTTGCTGCATACTTGCTGTTGTCACAGTGGGCTGTTCCCAGTGGGATTTGCAGCACACTGCCCGAACGAGTAGGATGATTGTCTTTTTCCTAACAGTTGTTTCCCTGGGCCCAGGTTAAATCTTAGCAGGGGGCGCTAGACTCTCTGCAGTTACTGCGCCAACTACATCTGGGAGAGGAGAGGGGGACAGTCCCCCAGAGCTCCTGCTGGACTCTCCCTGAGCCTGATCAGGCCCCGGGAGGGTTTCCAAGTCCATCCGCTGCATTCAGCACAGACCAGAACAGTCTAATTTTCAAGACTTTCTGGTTACCCTATTGCATCCACTCCTTCAGAGATCTGTTGTTGCCTAGAAAGTAACTTCCAGCTCCCGTGAAGCCCTGTGTTTTCCTCTTCAGCAGTGGAGAAAGTGCTTGGTTCACCGGGCCTTCTCTTCCCCTGACTAGAGGGTCTGGGCTCCCCTAAACATGCTGCAGAGACCTGTTGATCCTAAATTGAATCCCCAGCTCCCCTCGCCATCTGTCTCTTCGAGCTGTGGTCTGCTAAGAGCCAGGCCCAGGCGGGAAGACGACCCTGTGGTTCCAGGATGGTCTCCTTCCAGTTGCTCAGCCTGGAACCAGGGCTGGCTTGGTTTTTTCCCCAACTGGTCTCTACATCATTCACATGGTCAGGTCCGTTCCATCGGGATCCTCTTTCTCTGACATCATCACCCATAGACAGTTTTTCTTTAGCCCATATTTATGTTCTGTTTCCCTCTATCTTAAAAAGAATACCTTGAACCCAGTTTGTTTTTTCCTAAGGTACAGATCACCGCTGTTCTATCAGCAGCCACTTATCCATCTGTAAGCATTTTATCGACTCTGTCATTGAACTTACTGATGAAGAGGGTTTGTTTGTTTGCTTTGGGATTTTTTTCCCCCTAAAAATGGATAGCCAGAACTAATACCTCTGGACCACTTTGACTTCAAACTGGCAGCCAATCGCATGCCCACCTAAGAGTTACAGTATGGACTTTGATTTCTCAGCTCAATGGGGAATGCATCAGTGTGGGAAAAAAATGGGGATCTGTACTAAAATCAAGATCGTTACTTTGATCTCTACCTCAGTTTGCCAGTCTGATCATTCTAATGCAAAGAGAGGTTTCATTTATGAGATACTGTTACCTTTGAAAGTCACACTGCTGGTTGCTTGCCTGCAGCCTGATTTCACAAATGGACTAAATAGTGAAAAAAATTACTTCAGGTATTTCCAGGTGTTGTAAACCTCTGAATTTTTGCAGCCATCCTTTTCACCCATTTTGATAAAGAGGCCCAGCTCAGCATCTTGTGCAACCCTCCCAACCTTTTTCTTGAGCTTTATGAGTCTTTCAGCACCTTTGGACACCATGGAAACCCAGCCAGGACTGAGCTCTGAGTAGCACCAACCCTTCTGGACAATCTTCCCAAATGTCTGGAACATTGAAACTTTTAAGATAATCTCCCAGTTCTTTCTCGATTCCACTTTGGTCTCTTCATTCTCTGTTGTCCAATAGGGAAACAGAAACAGAGAAAGGGGTGGAAGTAATGGTAGAGGAGACTTTAAATCTTTTAGAAATTAAAATAAAGAAGATTCTTAAAAACCACTTCCTTATTTGATGGGAGAGTAAGGTGTTAACAGAGGGCATCAAAAGAAAAGAGATGTTTTGAACTTACTCATTTGGGGAGGGTTCCTGTACAAGCTTTAACTTAGTGTTCCAGATCTTACTCGTGCAACGCCATTTCTTCAGACGTCTCCCTGGTAACCTTCCCCAGTGTCTCGTCCCTTTGGCGTTGACACCTGTGATGGAATGAGGACTGCCTTTCCACCCTCCACACCAGGACTCCGCTGCCTTGGAAGGCAGAGGACATGCTGCTCCAGACCTCAGAGGCTGTGCCTTCTTCCAGGAAACAGCTCCTAACACTCTCCCATCACTTCCTTCTTCACCTGTCTCTGTCTTTCTCTATTACTCTGTTGTCGCCTGAGGCTTTTTTTTCCCTTCAATTCCCAGGAAAGGATGTGACCTCAGAGTGAGTAAGGACTCAATAAGAACTCACTTATCCTTCCTTTGTTTAGTCAAAGTCTAAGATTCCAAGGATAAGACAAGGTGGCCCCTTCACAAAGGATCAAAAATAACACCCAGTGAGTTCCTTCAAGGGTTTACCTGCAAGTGGGCCTCTTGGCAGCCACAGGTGTAGCCCACAGTGGGGAAGTGGGAAGGCACAAGGAATGGGAAGAGAAGAAAGAAAATAAGCTCCTAAAAGGTTACACCCCGCTTTTAAGAATCTTATCATAGGTCCTCGTGCAGTTTGGGAAGTGAATCATTTTGGTGATGGGTAAATGATAGTTCTACAAAGGTTACCTGACTCCACTTACACAAGAATATATACTCACAGATAATATAACTGAATGTTCACATCCCATCCATAGAACTCACTTAAGTAGATTTACCAAATTGGCCTTTGGGTTTGGGTGAGGATGCTTGCAGTGAATCATTAGCACAGAGTGAACGGTTCTTAAAACATACTTTCTGATGAGTGTTCTATAAATTATTTCAAGTTGTTGAATGGCCCTTTGTAGAGCTCCATGTTCAAGTTGGGCATAAATGCCATTGTTTAACAATTTTGCACATTTTCACACAATGTAATCTGACTTTGATGCCCCTTGAGCAATCCATAGAATATTGTACAGCAGGGTCCCACTTAATCTACTGAAATGAATATAAGCAGTGATCAATGAATATAGAGCACCAAGGGACAAATGGTATGAGTTTTCTGTCTTTGTACTTTTGCCATTCCCAAAAATGGGTTCATAATTTAATTAAGAAAAAGGGGGGGAAAAAACAGGGACATGGAGGTCTCTTTAGTATTTGGGAATGAGACATAGCCTCTAGGGTCTATAAACTAAAGAAACTTTAGTTTGGTAATTACAGTCTCTGAAATCCAAAGTTAAAGAGCCTATGGTTCTGCTGGGTTTGGAAGACCTCAGATTTGGGATGTCATTCCTGACCACAGTAATGAGAGGCCATGAATGCAGGAAATGCACTGGGGGCTGTCTTGGCTCTGAGTTACCTCCCATAGAGACTTAGAACTGTGGGGCAGCTTATAAGTGAAGACTCTTCCCACGGAGCTCCCTAGTGGAGGCTAGCACCTGAGCTGAAAGCCAACCTCCAGCTGGGCTGGGGTGTCAGGCGTGGAGCAGAGTGACTTTGGCACAGCTTTGTTCAAATCAATAAAACAAACTGGAAATTGAGCTTTCACTTACCCACCCAAGTATACCTTCTTTAAAAATAAAAAAAACAGAGTCTGTATTATAATCGAAATGGTACCTGTATCTTAAAATTACGTAGGGAATTTTGTATGTTTAAATAATTGTACTGGGTTCCATAACACTTATCTTAGAAACTGTTTAGTAAAAGAAAATATATAAACCGTGCATTTGTGAATGCCCCCCTTTAGAACATTCATCCAAGTTCAATGTATAGTGTGATGGTTATTAGACGTTTAAAGTATAGTAAGTGGCTGTGTGACAGGAGAGACTGCTATTTACCTACTGACTTCAGAGTTAACTCCTGCCCACGTAATTAAATCAGTATTGTCCTTTCCTGTTGGTCTGATCAGTTGCAGTACTGGTGGCTTCCTGCTTGTGACTGTTACCTAATCGTGTCAATGTACATCTGTCGTATGTACATGTGAAAGTGCCTTTCTATTTTAGAGGAGTCTTAGCCTTGCTCTTTGCTGTTGCCCCACACACTCCCCCCCCACACCCAATTCCTCCGCCCACTTGAGTGTTTTGAAACTTCACTCCACTCTCTCCCAGCTTCTTCGCCACGCCCACCTTTCTATGCCTCGGTGCTCAGTATTGTCAGTCTTGCATCCTCATCCGTCACGGTCAGGTCATGGTCATCAGACATCGTTTTCCTCTTAGCCGTGACTGTGCCTTTCCCTGCCCACAGCCACTCTCTGGGGCCCCGACACCTCACCCGCTCCCCTCTCCTGCTCACGTGCTGCTGATGGCCATCCTGTCCTCCTCGGCTCTGTGCTGCCTCTTACCATGACATTTCCTCGTCTCTGAGGTGAAAGTAAAGGGGGATGCTTTTCTAGTTCTGGAAGGGAAAAAAAAAATGTTTTGTTAATCTGTTGTGACAATGCACTTTTATGTATAGTACTGTACATTTTAGCATGTACCATTCCAGGCTTCAGTATACAGTCAGGTCTGTTCTTCACGGTGTATCTTTATAATAAATAAGATAGTTCTGGCTGCCTTTGTCTGCTTCCAGTTTGGTCTGATTCTCTGCACTGTTTCCACTCCTTTCTTTTTCTCATCACTATTAACCCTTTAGAGAGCTGAGTTGCCTTGAATTGTTAAATCACGTGAAACTACCTTTCTTTTTAATCTCACTTTCATTTTTGTTTGTGAACTTGAAAATGGCACCTCATTCACAGGGCCTTGTCCATGAAGCCAGGGTTTTTTAGAATAGTTTGCAGACCCTTATGTAGCGAAGAACAGGTCAAGAGGATCTTAACTAAGCGGCTGAGAGAGCACAGTCCTCAACATTCCAGATTGAATTTTTTCTTTCGAGAAGGAATTTTTGAGATAGTAAATCTTGTCAGGCCGACTTTAGGATTCATTTGAATATGCAGAAATGCAATCCTCAGGTTTAGAATATGTTTAGAATTCCCCCATGTATAGATATTTTATCTTCAATCTTATCTTTTTTTTACCCCGACTCTTGAGGACTAGCAATACATAATGTAGCTTTGTAAAACTGTATCAGCAATGTGCAGACTGTATCAGCAAAATGTCAGATTGGAACATTCATGAGATGTAAAAAAAAAAAAATGACATAAATGGAGGGGAATAAGCTTTTATTGAAGCATAAAATACATAGAGAAAAGTATACAAATCATTAGTGTAAGAGTTTTCACAAAGTGCTACCCTATTGCATCCACCCCCAGATCAAGAAACAGCATTGTATCAGCCTCCTAGAAGCTAGGCTTGTGCCTCTCCAAAATTCAACATCCTGATGAGTAACATCATAGTTTGGTTTTGTCTGTTGTTTTAACTTTCTACAAATGGACTTACAATATTTAGATTTTCTCTGGCTTTTTTTCTTGAAATTATATGTTCAAGAGAGTATATATTTCTAAATATAACTGTGTGTGCCCAGTCATGTCCAAATCTGTGTGACCCCATGGACCACAGCCCACCAGGCTCCTCTGACCATGAGATTTCTCAGGCAAGAATACTGGAGTGAGGTATCATTAACTCCTCCAAGGGATCTTCCCAACCCAGGGGTTGAACTGCCATCTCTTGCATCTCCTGCATTGGCAGGTGGATTCTTTACCACTAGTGCCACCTAGGAAGCCCTATGATGGCACCACATGGTCAACACTCAAATCAGATTCATTAGGTTCTTTGCAGCCGAAGATGGAGAAGCTCTATATGATCAACAAAAACAAGACCTGGAGCTGACTATGGCTCATATCATGAGCTCCTTATTGCAAAGTTCAGGGTTAAACTGAAGAAAATAGGGAAAACCACGAGGCCATTCAGGTATGACCTAAATCAAATCCTTTATGGTTATACAGTTAGAGGTGGCAAATAGAATCAACGGGTTAGATATGGTAGACAGAGAGCCTGAAAAACTATGGATGGACATTCATAACATTGTACAGGAGGTGGTGATCAAAACGAACCTCAAGAAAAGTAAATGCTACAAGGCAAAGTGGTTGTCTTAGGAGACGTCATAAACAGCTGAGGAAAGGAGAGGTACAAAAGGCAAAGGAGAAAGAGAAAGATATACCAAACTGAATGCAGATTTCCAAAGAACAGTAAGGAGAGACAAGAAAGCCTTCCTAAGTGAACAAGGCAAAGAAATAGAGGAAAACAATAGAATGGGAAAGACTAGAGATCTCAGCAAGAAAGTTGGAGATACCAAGGGAACATTTCGTGCAAAGATGGGCACAATAAAGGACAAAAACAGCAAGGACCTAACAAGCAGAAGAGATTAAGACTAAGCGGCAAGAATACACAGAAGAACTATACAAAAAAGGTCTTAATGATCCAGGTAACCACAGTGGTGTACTCACTCACCTGGAGCCAGACATCCTGGAGTGTGAAGTCAAGTGGGCCTTAGGAAGCATTGCTATGAACAAAGCTAGTGGAGGTGACAGAATTCCATCTGAGCTTTTTAAAATCCTAAAAGAGGGAGGTGGGAGGGGGGATCGGGATGGGGAATACATGTAACTCCACGGCTGATTCATGTCAATGTATGACAAAAGCCACTGCAATATTATAAAGTAATTAGCCTCCAACTAATAAAAATAAATGAAAAAAATCCTAAAAGATGATGCTATTAAAGGACTGCACTCAATATGCCAGCAAATTTGGAAAACTCAGCAGTGGCCACAGGACTGGTAAAGTTCAGTTTTCATTCCAGTGTTCAAGCTACTGTATAATTGCACTCATTTCACATGCTAGCAAGGTAATACTCAAAATCCTTCAAGCTAGGCTTCAACACTGTGAACCGAGAACTTTCAGATGTACAAGCTGGGTTTAGCAAAGCCAGAGGAACCAGAGATCAAATTGCCAACATTTGCTGGATCATGGAGAAAGCAAGGGAATTCCAAAAAACATCTGCTTCATTGACTATGCTAAAGCCTTTGACTCCGTGGATCACAACAAACTGTGGAAAATTCTTCAAGACAGGGGAATACCAGACCACCTTACCTGCCTCCTGAGAAACTGTATGCAGGTCAAGAAACAATAGTTAGAACCGACATGAAACAACAGACTGGTTCCAAATTGGGAAAGGAGTACATCAAGACTATATATTGTCACCCTGTTTATTTAATACATATGCAGAGTACATCATGTGAAATGCCAGGACTGAACCACTCACAAGCTGGAATCAAGATTACCTTGGAGAAATAGCAACAACCTCAGATATGCAGATGATACAATTCTAAAGAGCCTCTTGAGGAGAGGAAGAGCAAAGTGAAAAAGCTGGCTTAAAACTCAACATTCAAAAAACTAAGATCATGGCATCCAGTTCCATCATTCCATGGCAAATATATGGGGAAGAATTGGAATCAATGACAGATTTTATTTTCTTGGGCTCCAAAATCACTGCAGACAGTGACTGCAGCCATGAAATTAGAAGATGCTTGCTGCTTAGAAGGAAAACTATGACAAACCTAAACAGTGTATTAAGAGAGACATCACTTTGCCAACAAAGGTCTATATAGTCAAAACTATGACTTTTCCAGTAGTCATTTATGGGTGTGAGCATTGGACAATAAAAAATGCTGAGCACCAACGAACTGATGCTTTCGAACTGTGGTGCTAGAGAAGACTCTTGAGAGTCCTTTGGACAACAAAGACATCAAAACAGTCAATCCTAAAAGAAATCAACCCTGAACTGAAGCTCCAATACTTTGGCCACCTGATTTTAAGATTCAAATCATTGGAAAAGACCCTGATGCTGGGAAAGATTGAGGGCAGGAGGAGAAGGCGATGACAGAGGATGAGATGGTTGGATGGCTTCATCTACTCAGTGGACATGAATTTGAGCAAACTCCAGGAGATAGTGAAGGACAAGGGAAACCTGGCCTGCTGCAGGTCATGGGGGGGTCTCAAAGAGTCAGACATATTTGGGGACTGGACAACAATAAATATAAACATAACATTATAACTGTAGTTTTCTCCATTTATGGTCTGTATAGAGTTCTACATGAATATGCTTATTGTTATACTTCAGTATTTCCTGATTAAACTTTTAGAATGACATGCAGAAATCTCTAAACATGGACAAATTTATGAAAAAAGAAAGGAAGACCACCTATTAGAGAAAATGTTTCCCCAAACATGATAGAATGACTTTGAACTAAGCCAGTAAATGGAACACCTATCTGAAAGCAGGTAAGTACCACTTTAGGACCTGAGAGATGGACTTAGAGGCTGATCCACAGAACAAGCACTTTCCAGGTAGCACTAGTAGTAAAGGACCCGCCCGCCAGTGCAGGAGACCTGAGTTTGATCCCAAGCTCAGGAGGATCCCCTGGAGGAGGGCATGGCAACCCACTCCAGTATCCTTGTCTGGAGAATCCCATGGACAGAGGAGCCTGGTGGGCTATAGTCCATAGGACAGCAAAGAGTCGGACACGACTGAAATGACTGAGCACACATGCAAGCCAAGGAACAAATGCCCAAATCAGACTATAGGATTGTTCCAGAAAAGCCCCACAGTCCTGCTTACCCTTCACTGCTATCTTCAAGTCCACGAGCCTCGACCAGTCACAACCTTCCCAATCTGTGCCTGCACCCTCACCCCTGAATTAGAGTTCCACGTGGGGATGTCTGCTTGTCACAACCCACTCCAGTATCCTGGTCTGGAGAATCCCATGGACAGAGGAGCCTGGTGGGCTATAGTCCATAGGACAGCAAAGAGTCAGACACGACTGAAATGACTGAGCACACATGCAAGCCACAGGAACAAATGCCCAAATCAGACTATAGGATTGTTCCAGAAAAGCCCCACAGTCCTGCTTACCCTTCACTGCTATCCTCAAGTCCACGAGCCTCGACCAGTCACAACCTTCCCAATCCGTGCCTGCACCCCTCACCCCTGAATTAGAGTTCCACGTGGGGATGTCTGCTTGTCACCCCCCACTTCTCATATGCCAGCCTCCTGTAAGAATATTAGGAAGGCAGAGAAATGAGGTTTTCTGGCTTCTACCTTGAGTAGCTGAGACTCAGGCAGAAAGTTCCCAAGCTTGATCTGAAATGCCCAAAAGTTCCTGGAAGTCAAAAGTTATGGCAAAGTCCATTCCATGGGTCATATATCCCCTTTTGGATTTTGGAAAATAGGGTTATGATCCCTTTGGGAAATAATCACAGTGAGGTTCATCATTCTTCAGTAGACTTTTATCTCTACAGTGGATAGAAAACTTGCCTTCTACAGTAAAAAATGGTGATTTTTATCAAGATTACTCTTTAGCAGGAGTGGCTAGAAAGCTGGGACCAGGTTGAATATGTAAATGAGTGTCTGTGTCTTTAAAAGAGAGAGAGACCAGTCCTCCTGGAGCCCTGAGACAACATTCTTTACTCAACGTTAACACCTTGAAGGAGGTCAAGATATTTGCCATCCAGTTCTGGCAACTAGTGGGTGTCCCTTTCTTACCAATCAGTTCTCTGTCCTGGGGTGATGGGCTCTCTTTTAGCTGCTTGGGTGTGCAGCTGAAGGAAGAATTACTGAT